GAGTTTTATCGGGAAAAAAAACGAAAACATATGGAGTGAATTTTGTTAACGATCATTAAAATAATAGTTATATGAAGTAAAACAAACTGTATTATTTCCAACCGAAAATACAAAATATAGTCCACCAAATAATACAACTACTTCTCTTCAATGCACTTTCATCATCAGTGCAAATAATAACAAAATAGAAACAAATGCTCAGTTCAAATCAACCATTACTTGTAAGTAACCTGTAAACAAAATTAGATTCTCTTTGATATAATTACAAACAACCTAAAGATAATGTTGGATTACGAAAAAATGATCCTTGTTGGACAATAAGGACCATCCATTTGAGGTTCTCTCTCCAGTTAGTACCCTTTTTTTCTTCTCAAAATGATAATTACAACCTCCTTATTTTACCCATAATCATTTAGAATACTGTTTAAGAAAAATAAAACATAACGGGATCTCATAATGCATACCAATAGCTTATAAGCTCATTATCCAAATATTTAAAAAAATAAGTTTAAAAATAAGACATAATTATAGACCAACTCTTAAAATAGTTTATCATATGTTTACAATAAGGTATAATCAGAAGATGGACTATTTCTTCATCATGTGCTTCATTTGCACGTCTTTTTTGTTTCTTAATAACTTCAGTCCGGAACTCGTAAGCCTGAATGACTTCAGCTAGCTGTTGCTTTAAATTCTATATAAAATACTATGATACTGAAATAATGACAAAAATACACATACATACATAAGCATGGTAGATATAGTTAAATCATTAAATAAAGCATCAAACACTTAAATAACTACATAATTCGAAATATGTGAGTAACAGGTTGTTGTTTCCCAAATTTCATACATAAGCCCATCTATATGTTACTTAATACCTAAATTTCCACATAATCCGAAATTCACAAGTAAGGGGATGTTGGTACCCAAAATTTCCTATATAAGCACATTTATATTTGATAGGCTTCATCGTAATCAATAATTACAAATGGTGCAGTTTACTCATATCCAGATGAATGTCAATATAATCTAGTATAATGAGCATAAACCTCACTAAGAATACAAAAAAGTTTCTCCATTCCCTTAATTAAAATTTCTATAACAAAATAAGAACTTGTTTTTTGAATTCGATAGTTCCCACACGGGTGCTAACAGTGAAATCATAATAACCACAAAAAATTTGAAATTTGAAAACCTTGAGACCTGAGAAACCATAAAGCTCCCATCGTTCGATAATCATAATAAGACCCTGATTTTTGGAAGAACATAAAGTCGTAAATATAGTGCATGGTCGATCCACTAACCTTATATGGGGGAGAATTTTGGTAAAGCGGCCAATATTATCATCTGCAAGAAAAGCAACAAAAAATATAACTAATAGTATTTGAAGGAAAATAGTGTGCGTTTGCGTAATGTTGGAAAGGGGTGGGGTAGTAACAAAACATAAGATGGCATAACCAAAACACTTGACTATTATCAATTAAAGAACCTATAAGACAACATACTGAAGACAACTTATGGCCGACGGAATAGAATCACCTAACTGCAGCACAACACTTAAAAAGACTATCACTAACACTCTAAAATGCGGTAAAAAAATTATAAAATACGTTAAAATGATTATGAATCTAAACCCAGAATTACTAACTGCTTCAAGAAATCAGGAAAAAATCCAATGAGATGCATTTATAAAATATGCCCTTACGAAATACAAACACAAACATGAACATTGTACATCACACACATATAAATTGCATTGCACGAAACACATTAGCGCACACACTTTCATATCTTATATGAAGAAAGAATTGAAAATAAGAACCCTATTGCTTTTCGCTACTGCTTTTAAAAAAACGCAGAAGTTAAAAATGCATACACGAAAAAACATGCTTTTCCCTACTCTTTTGTATGTTCAATTGTCAGACAATTGAAATGTATACAACCTGAGGTTATACCAAATAATAAAGCTAAGCTGTGAAAAAGATAAAAGACATTGATAAATTAAAAGGACCTCAAAAGAAAGCAATAAAAAACATCGGAAAAGTATTGGACATCACTATAGCAAAATGGTCACTCAAACTTTTCTTTGAAATGTAAATTCAAAATAGTATGTCCGGATTCCACATTGCTTAATTAAATTTCAAACATAGCATTTAACTGAAATTACATGTCAAAATACTAATTTAATTTCTCGCTTCAACAGAATAGTATTGCTTTTTTAAACCTAAATTATAACAAATAAAATCATAACTCAGTACTAAACAAATTAAAAGAACAACCTTAGATAAACCCAATTTATTTGATTACAAACTGCAACTATCCCTTGTATATGGGAGGAACACTTTTTACGCAATACTTTTTATACAGCAAAACTGTATATTGAAAATTATTGTACTAAAAAAGGGTTGGTAATGCTACAATATTTGAAACGATTATATTCTTAAAAAAATGAGAAAATAGCATAGAAATATAAGAGGATCATCGTGTAGCGTAATTGTTTGGAGATACGGAAAAACTGAATATAAAACTTGGATACCAAGAGTACAAAAGTTGTTTCTAAACTGCACCAGGAAAAATGTATTCTTATTCATATATAAGAGTATATATATTCATATATACATATAGGTATTTATATATAACCAGACAAACACATATTTGTAGCTATTCAATCAGATAGAATGAGACAATAAAGTCCTTATTGTTCTAGGAAGAGATCCATGGGATACTTATCGAGGATTGATGAGAGAAGAGGTGGAAGAAAAGACTTGGGATGGATTGTATCCATATAGATATAAATATGCAAACACACTTAAAAAATATATATTCAATTGTGGTTTCTGAGTCGACATTTATGATCAAAGTATAAAATATTTTATCACCCCAAACATACACACAAAAAAAAAAATATCTGTATAATCATCTTAACCACAAACAGTATATATTACACAATAGAATAATGGATGCTAATTCAACCAATTCCGTCAATTCCGTCAATTCCATCAATACTTCGAAACAAACGTACATAATTCAATGCTAATTTGCAAATTAATCAAAAAAATATCAGAGTTCAAACATAAAATTAAAAAAAAAAAAAAATGAAACATACCACCTAGATATTTCTCCAATTTTACGCATTTGTCTGTCTTCACAAATCGGAAATTGGAAAACCCCACTCCTCTATGATCTTCGTTGATTATAGAAACAATTGGATGCAGAACACTACATGTTTGTTGCTCTTCGTCGGATTTTTTTAAGGAATTTTACATGATGTAATAAGTAAGAAGCGGAGGAAACTGAATAACGTAAAAGAGAAGATGAACAAATACAGAAAAAAGCAAAACCGTCGTCGAGAAACATAGAAGAAGTTTTTAGATCGTTTAAAAAAATAAAAAATAAAAACCCAAAAACAGGGGAAAAAAGGAAAATAAATAAAAACGACCCATGACAGAAAAGCCTTTAGAGAAACCAACAAACGGCAATGAAGTCTTACCCCATAACCTGGAGATTCTGTCTTAAAAGGGGATTGAATCGGTAAATTATGCAATTATAAATAAGGTTTTGCAGAAATATGTAGATTTCCGATTTGAAGAAAGAAAACTCAAATTTATGGAAAAAAATCATGTCCGATGGAAATTCCACAATTTTGTTTCGTTCCCAAAATTTGTGTTTCCTCTGTTTTTCCCGGAAGTTTAAACTCTTACTTGAAATTTGGAGCACCGTCGGCAGAGGCTTCCACCGGCAAACAATGAGCGGCTGCTCCACTCTCACTTCCGGCGGAATTTGAAATCTTCAATTTTCTGTAAAGATTTATGTGAAAGATGTGTTGATGCAGTTGATGAGATGTGTATTGTGCAGATAAGTTTTTTTTTTTTCTTTTTTAATGAAACGGTGATTTTTTAGATCTGGCCATATGAAGAAACGGTGTTTCTATAATTGCATATTGTACAGCCAAATAGCTTACAATATGAAGATTTCCGTTTAAGACCCATAATTTAGAAAAAAAAACCTTTTCGATAACAGAGTAATTAAAGAAATAAGAATGCGCAACAAAAATTCCCAATTAGCACTTTTCTCACTATGCAAATATGCAACCACTATTTGGATGAAATTGACTCAACAACCCACCGAGACAGTGTCTTCGCAAATTGGAACACAGAGCATCATATACGGCTAAGTTATTTCCCCATGAGAATTTCCGGTAATTTTTTTTTACGAATTATTTTTATATTATTAATTTCCAAAGTACTTTTATTCCATGTTGCTTTCTCTCAAAGCCATCGATTTGTTGTACCCAAATTCTTACAGAAAGTACACCCAAATTATTACAGAAAGTACAGAAAGAAGGAGGAACAGAAATATGAGGATTTTCATACTTGAAATTTCGATGACCGTTCGGCAGTGACTTTCGCTGGCAAACACTGAGCGGTTGTGCAAAGGGTCCTTCACTCCCGCTTCCCAACACATTTTGTTAAATTTTTGGCAGATGGATTTTAGAGATTCAATTTTCTAGGAACTAATAATTGTTCAAAGATTTGTGTGAAATTTAGGGGAGATGGAAAACGCCAGAGAGAAATTTAGGGGAGATGAAACGGCGTTTTTTCTTCTGATAAATTGGGAGAAGTTTTCAAATTGTGGAAGTTTTCGAATAGGAAATGAATTTAATACCGTGTGGAGATTTTATTTTAAAAAACTGCCGAATGGTAATAATACTGACCGACTAAAATAACAAAAACGCCATTAGAAAACCAAGATATTGCAAAAATGGCCCTAGGGTTTGAAACCCTAAAGTGCCACGTGTCAACATATTATGCCATGGATTGTCTTTTTATATATATATAGATATTATTACTACGAGCAATATAATATTTAACCTAATTTTCTTTTACTTTGCATGCAAATCAATGTACCTAAATTAATATATTTTTTTCTGCGATCAAATGCATGCAAATTAACAAATTTATAAATTTCTTATGATTGGAGCAAAAATATCGAGAGAGTCAACAAAAAAGAAAAGCAGAATCAGATTTTCAAGGTTGCATTTCGTTGTTTAGAGAGAGAGAATTTGAGCTTCACGTACAGGATATTTCTACAGTTACAGTGCAGCTACACGAACATCACGTGGACCACCAAACTACAACCAATGGCTTTCTTCCACGTGTGGAAAAGAGACTACATCTGAATCCACCTGGCTAATTCCGCGGGGTTGACTACTCCAGGAATGTGGACCCCGTCGCTCTTCAGCAAGTTCGCCACCTCAGCATAGCTCTGCGGCTTCGACGACTTCCCACTCGGCTCGGCTTCCTTACTCGGCTGGCTATGGCTATGGCTATGCTTGTTCTTCTTCGAATCGGCTGGCTGGTTCACCGGCACAGCCTCGGCTCGGGCCGGGTCGAACTTCTGCCCGAGCAGCGTTCCCTTTGTCAGGAATTCGTATGCCATGTAACCAGCTAGAAGCCGATTGGACGACACCGGCTGCTGCTCGGCTGCCTTATACGGCTTCGTTAACTTCCCACTAACGGCCCGACTGACGGACGTTTGCGGAACTAACGGTTTCGGTAACGTGGAAGGATGGAACGCCTCCATCTCTTTACGCTTCCGTGACGTGGAAGCGCCAGGGGTCAGTATTCTGCGGGGGTGGTAACTCATCGTGACCGTCGGATAATTTGAATCGGGGGTAAAAAGGTAAAAACACTGAACGCCACGTCAGCGAGAGCCTTCGGAAGGGTAAAATGGTAAATTCACGCGCAAAGGACCAAGAAAAAATTGAAAATGGGAAACTGCCAAACGGTTTAAAAGGAAAAAAATAAAATAAAAAAGAGAGAGAGAAAAGTTAAAACTTCAGGAATCACAAGTACAGTTCAGAAACGACGAGAGCCAATAAAGAAGATGCATTTTCAATTAAAAGAAATAAAAAAAAGAATTATTCAGAATTCGTGAAAAAATATCGACGAACAGATTTATTGATAGCGAGACGTGATTATCGGAAATTATAAATCTGGGCCGTAACCGGTGGATCTGGAGGAAATAGACGGCGGAAGGATTGGCGTCGCCGCCGTGAGCGGTGGATTGAGCGGAGGAGGGAGGACGGAGAAGAGAGAGAAAGGGATTTTATAGAGAGAGAGAGAAATGGGGGAGGGGAGAAGAGGGCCTGAGGGGAAATGTGGGCAGCCTGCACTCCTTGACTTTATAGAAATTTGCCCGTGTTTATTGCCCTTTGATTTGTGACATTATTACCGAAATACCATTGGATAATGTTTTCAGCCACCTGTTCGCTGATCAAGGGCTGGAGCATAATGTCGATAATACCCTTTGTGGGTCTTGGGTGTCACATCGGGGATATGAGGGTTTTTAGTGAGGGTGTTTAGGTAATTTAAGTACTTGTGGTAATCCTTTCTTTTGTTTTTAGCATACCGGGGCAAAACCCTTGATTTCCTCACATGCTTTTTTATTAGTTTCTTAACTTCTTTATTAAATATATAAATAAATAAAAAATTGTTGTTAATCACGTAGGTACAATGTGCATAATCTTTTATTTCATAAAAAAAAAAAATGTGCATAATCTTTGAAAAGCTCGAGTCATAAAGATAAAAATATAAATTAAACTAGGGTCATTCGACATCATATTTTTTGCTCTATCAATTTTGTCAGTCATTCAAAAATATTGTTGAATAATGACTATTTCATTAAAATAATCATGTTATTATGCTTTCTCAATTCAAATAAAAATGCTATGTGGTTCTACGTTACTCGAGAGCGATATTAAATTATTAAATTAAAGCAATAGGTAATATGATTTATATATACTCGAAATTAAGATGCCAACTCATCCTTCTTAGATAAATGGTATATACAGTATTACAATTGAAGCATAGTCATACATGTGTAATGAGTGAGTAACCTCGTTCACTTGCAATAGTCTATAAAGTACGTGAGAAGTGTATATATTTTAGGTTATCAATTAGATCATCGTCCACTATTGAATTTTTTTTGATAATCCATTTAACATAACAAAGACTATAAAATGACACAATTTAGTCACATTCGTCGAATGTTGTTTCTCTCTTCATCAAGGTGTACGTGCTTGAACTCGACATTTTAGTTTATATATTAAAACCTCACTACTTAATTGAGGCATACTTGTGGTAAAAAGTTTGTTTTACTATATGAGTTATTTATTACTGACGTGTTACTAAATAAACGAAAACATTTAACTTCAATAGATCATTTGTACACTATTTTCAATTAGCGGTGTATATGAGCAGAATCGGCTCATCATAATGTAGCAGTTCGACAAAAGCTCTAGCTCCATCTTGTATTTTTCGAGCCAATTGTTCATTTGATCACGAATAAATTCAATTATATTGAACTCCCGATTTTATTTGTTCGTTCACTAGTATTACTAATATTTTTTGTTAGTTATACATATTAATAATCAAAGGCCACATGCCAGCTGGCATTAATGCATCAAATTTGAAAATTGAAATAAAAGTGACGTGTCCTCCACTTCACCAATTGGCCCAAATTAGGAAAAACAAATGTGAGAAATTAAAATATGCACACACATAGAAAAATATTCTGGCGTGAGAAAATGTACAATCTGCCCACTTTTATTTATTATAATTAAATTTTCTATATGAAGCCGTATTAAAATTAAAATGATTTCCCACGTAATTAAACGGACCTAAACCAATTGGCCATATTAATTAAAAATTTATCTCACTTACTATTAAGATCTTTTTTCTTTTCTTTTTTTAATTTGACCATATGAATTAAAAATTGTTTTCTAAAAGAAATTAAAATAAAAAAAATAAAAAATTGTAAGTCAATAGTTCGTATGTTTGAGATAGGCCTGTTTTCGGCCCTAAACTTGTATGGGCCTAAATTTGTATGGGCCAAATAATTTGGTCGGGTCCATCAGATATGCTAATTAATTAAGAGTTTTATTTATTTATTTATTTAAACATTTATTTATAGCTTTAGCCTTTAATGTGGGTGGGTAAGGTCTAAGGTGGCAGGGCGGCAAGGTACTTGCCAAACTTTAATATTCGAATCGGGCAACAAAAGAAGGTCTTATTATAGAATAAATAGGGAAAATTACCGAAATCCGATCCAATTTATCGTAATCGATTGATAAAGTTAAATTATGAAATATTTGCCATTAGGGGAGTAATCCATACGGAGATTAGGTAAATTAGGATAAAATGTAATTATGTCAAATTGGAATGTTAAATTTCGTTTTAAGTTTCAACTACTAATATTGTTTTAACTTTGAACGGGATTTTTGTCTTTTTCTGTTCTGATTTTGGCAAATTTCAAAATACCAAAACTGTAGTCCTTTTAGGTAGTTTTCTTATCCAAATTGAATCAACTAAATTGAATGTTGGGTGGCAAAATTATGAATAAATTAGTTACATTATGAAGTTTGGGTAAATAGCACTTAAGTCCTTTATGGTTTGTCTTTTTTTGCACATAACCCCCTGTGCTTTCGATATAAGTATATGACCCCTTGTACTTTAACACGAGCCTCCTTGTACTTTCAAAATACTCTTCTTCCCTAATGAGCATGATTATTTGTCAAGTGGAACACAAGGGGGTTATGTGCTTGTTTTAAAAGTACAAGGTTGCCATGTGCTTATATTAAAAGTGCAAGGAGTTCATGTGCAAAATGGTCAAACCCATAGGGGACTTAAGTGTTATTTACCCTTAAATTTTTAATAACTGAAAACATCAAATTGTGGGCTGTATACATTGACGCATGAATATTTTTCTCACTCGACATCCAATCTTGATGATTTAAGTTGGATTATAAAATTTAACTCCCAAAAAACTACAAATTCCGTGTTTTGAGTTTTGTCAAATTCAACATCGAAAATGGTGAAAATCACGTTTGAAATCGAAACGATCGTGATAAGATTGAAACGATCGACATTTTTCACATCTCTTATGTAAATAAGAGATATTTATTGGGAAAATTACAGTTTTCATCCCTCAAGTTTGCACCAATTTCACATTTGGGTCCCCATGTTCACAAAAAACACATTTGGCCCCTCATGTTTCAAAAATTTAACACTATTGTTCATTTCCGTCAATTTATTGTTAGTCCGTTAGTTAAAGCAGTGATGTGCATACGCTTGATTCCATTGGATTTAAAGGAAAATTGACGGCAACAGCTAAAAGTGTTGCATTTCTGAAACATAAGAGACTAAATATGTTTTTTGTAAATATGAGAGACCAAATGTGAAATTAATACAAACTTGAGGGATAAAAACTGTATTTTTCCCGATATTTATTCCTAGTTGCACCTTACCTCAAGAGGGGTATTAAATATTATGTAAATTAAAATAGCAAGGAAATGCATCACACATATCCCAAAAATCTAGAAGGAAAACGACGACCAATTGGCTAATATGAATCATCCCTCCCTCATTGGCCCTAATTAGTTGAACAAGGTGTATTTATATTCTTGTTTTTTAATGCAAAAAGGATTCTTGGGTTGACCACAATGGCTCTCTTGCGTTGACTTATAGTAAAGTGTACTACTACTAGTCTTCATTTTCGCTCAATCTAAAATAATATCTCATATATGTGTGTGTGTGTGTGTGAAGACTGAAGATGAGAAACTCTTTATAAAGAGTTGAAAAATAAAAAGATCCCAATAAATATTTTGGGGCCTATCTATATATATATTTGACAAAATGTGTCACTACACATCTTACAAGAGTCTATATAAAAGGGGGCTCTGGTTTTAAGGTTTGAAGCAGTACTTACAAAGAGTATATATATAGTAGAGAGCTAGCACATCTATATATATATATATATATATATATATCATCATCGTATATACATACAACACACATATATATATACATATGGAAGAAGAAAATGGAAGTGATGGATACACAAAAGATGGAACAGTGGATCTCAAAGGCAACCCTATTCTTAGATCCAAGAGGGGTGGATGGACTGCTTGCTCCTTCATTGTTGGTATACATACACCTATACATATATATTTCCTCTCTCTCTCTCTCTCTCTCTCTCTCTCTCTCTCTCTCTCTCTCTCTCTCTCTCTCTCTCTCTCTCTCTCTCTCTCTCTCTCTCTCTCTCTCTATATATATATATTAATTTGGAATAAAAATATGTGATTGTGTTTGGTTGGACCTAAGTGAAACACCAATCAAAATCATATCAACAAAAAGGTAATTAATCACTAACTAATTATTAGCTAGATAGCCTCTACTTTCCCATCCAAAGATTGAGGAGCACTACCACAACTTTTAATTAATTACCTCCTTTTTTCACCCTTCAAATAATAATTAACCATGCATGAAGTTTAACTTCTTTTTTTTTTTCCAATTAAAAAAATAAAAAAAAGCTATATATAGATATAATTAATAATAGTAACAATTAATCTGTTTGTGTGGTCATCGTTACATGTCAATAACTAATCTCCCCAACCAATTCAGACAACTTGGTACCTTAAATTCTGTCTAAAGAATATTCAAAAGACCAAATTACGGCCACCCCTGAAGTAAGCCTAAATTACGGAAAAATCTCTTATGTTTGAATAATTACAACCATCCCCTCATTTATGTATTATTTCACGAAAAAAATTCTTCCTTCAGTAGGGAAATTTTGCACCATAAGAATGAACGTGTAAGACAATACAATAGTTGAGGAGTGATTATAATTACTTGAAGAGTTTTTTCGTAATTTTTCCTATTAAAAATGGTGACTATTAAATTGTCTTTCAATTTTAGATTTAATGAATTTCTTATATATAAATTTATAAAAAATATAAATAAAAAATTGTGTGCAGTGTATGAAGTATTTGAGCGTATGGCATACTATGGAATATCCTCGAATCTATTCATATACTTGACAAAGAAGCTTCGAGAAGGTACTGTCGAGTCGGCAAATAACGTGACCAATTGGGTCGGAACAATTTGGATGACTCCGGTTTTAGGTGCCTACATCGCCGACGCCGTTTTGGGCCGTTATTGGACTTTTCTCGGCGCTTCTGCCATTTATCTCTCGGTACGTTTTTTTTTTTACAAATTAATTTCTTTTTCTATGTCATTTTTTGTGTTATTGTTTCTTTTAATACGCAAGCATGTGATTTCATAAGTAAACATGTAATAATAGTGTTTGCAGATTACTCCTAATTTTTAAAAATAAATAATTATTAAATAATAATCTTTCAAGTCCCGACTCGAAACGAACGTGCAGAATTATTAACTCGATAATTTCATGTTTCGCTAAATTAATTGAATTTTTCTAATTTCGATTGTACAAATTTATAGAGGTTTAACTGTATTTGAGTGAATTTTGAATCTAACATTTATGTAACATCGGATTTCAAGATATCTAGACTATAAAATGAAAATTTAATTAGTAATACGTTAAGTCTCATAAAAAAAATTATTAAAGTAAAGGGCTTAAAGTCTTGCATACATGTGGAATTTTTTGGCTATTATGGTGAATTTTAAATCGATGAAATTTATTCTATTGTCTAACCGATTTTGATGCCTTAGTTTGAAAAATCAGGGGTCGTTCAATATAATTACTTATTTTAAATATTTGATAAAGTTTTAAATCAAATTTTAAAGAGTATAAAGCTTATAAGTTATTTTTACTTATTATAAGATTTTAAATAAAAATACGATGGAAATGTACTTTTCAAAAATATTTTGAAAGCTCTCTAATAATTTTTTTTTTGAAATGCAAACACATTGAAAGAACTTATAAATTATTAAATATTATAAGTTCTTTTAAACAACTTATAAGCGTAGTCGAACAAATTATTAGTTACTTTTTTAAAAGATGCGTTTTTCCATGAATGATTTGTGTGTATTATCACATTGTTTGTCACCTAGTGACTAGTGTAGTATTAATATGGCACACAAGAGAGTAATTTATTTGGATTCTTGCATTATTATGAATAAACATATTATTTTATCTCATAAAAAAATTGGAAAATAAACATAGTCTTATCTCTTTGGATTCCGGGTACAACTTTGTTTGGATTTACGTTTGTCTGACTAGATTCAATTCATTGTCTCGATATAATATTTTGTACGTATACCTCAAAAAACTTCAAAATCAAAGTTGAATTTAAGTCAAACCGGTAGCTATACCTATCCCATTTGTCAATTTTATAATTGCTCACACATTAATAATTGATTAATTTCAAGAATATTTCTAATTAAAAGAAGACTTGTATAACAATTTGCTAATTGAATAAGTTAGGTAGGTGGCTTAATAATTCAACTTCTTTGATTATCTTTGATTTTATTGAACATTAAGTCTTTACAAGAATAGGTACCGAACCTTAAATATTAGGAAAAATTAAAACCGCCCCTTGAGGCAAAGTTTATTTACAAAATAACCCCTCGTTTTTTTATTATTACATCCACCCTTTGCAATTTGTACATTAACACCCTTTTATAGGGGTAAATGTTAAAAATTTCCAAACTGCAAGGAGTTTAATGCAATTTCTCAAAAAGAAGGGATTTTTACATAAATAGACTTTACCTTGAGGAGGTGTTTGTAATTTACCTTAAATATTACAAGCAACATCTATGTTCAATAATTGGATAATTTATGCGAATATAAAGCGTGACTAGCCAAGTGTGACACAATGAAATTAATTATTTATTTCAACAAAAATACAAAATGAATTAGGTCCTACTCAAAATTTAGTAACTAACCTGACAAATTAAGCACCTTCACAGGACCACCATTTCTTTTGTATTTAATCCACATTCAATTGCACATGTTGGCTTTTATTTTTTATTTTTTATTTTTTATTTTTTATTTTTTATTTTATTTTATAAAATGAAAATAATTAAGTTATTTAAATTTAATCAAACTGATTATTTCAAATTTTCTTTTTCTTTTTTCAACACGAAAACAGGGAATGTGCCTCCTAACTCTATCGGTAACGATACATCCTCTCAAACCATCTCCATGTTCGGATCCAATCATCGCGAACTGCGAAAAGGCAACCCCATTGCAAATAGGCGTATTCTTCGGTGCACTCTACACACTGGCATTGGGCACCGGCGGAACAAAGCCAAACATTTCGACCATCGGAGCCGACCAATTTGACGAATTTGACCCTAAAGAGAAAGCCCATAAAATCTCATTTTTCAACTGGTGGATGTTTAGCATATTCTTCGGCACACTATTTGCAAACACGGTCCTCGTCTATATACAAGACAACGTGGGATGGACGCTCGGGTACGGGCTACCCGCTATTGGGCTTGCTATATCGATAGTCATATTCTTGATCGGTACCCCGTTTTATCGGCACAAGGTGCCCACGGGTAGCCCTTTTACGAAAATGGCTAAGGTTATCGTGGCTTCTATGAGAAAATGGAGGGTCGATGTTCCGACGGACCCTAAGGAGTTGTATGAGCTCGATTTGGAAGTGTACGCTAAGAACGGGAAATATCGAATCGATTCTACACCTACGTTCAGGTTTGTCTTTTATCCCTTTAGTTGTCTGTTGTAGCTCACGTTGTATTATTAAATAGTTATTTTTTTAGGGCAAATTACGGCCACCCCTTGAGGTATGGCCAAATTACGAAAAAACCCATCACATTTGGATAATTACAGTTCCCCCTCTTTTTAAATATTTGTACATAGAATTTATGTAATTTGGTTATTTACCGAACCAAATCATATATTCAGTTCGGTAAACGGTATGAAATATTGGCGTACCAAAATTTCGGTTCAGATTTACCGATTTAACATCCCTAACTTTACCTCTGGAGGGGTATTTTCGTAAGATAATACATAGTTGAGGGGTGGCTATAATTACTCAAACAGAAGGGGGTTTTCGTAATTAGACCATATCTCAGGGGTGCCCATAATTTGCCCTTTTTATTATTAGTAAAAAAAGAAATTAGTGTGTGGGTAGGGTCATGATCCATGTCTTATTTGGACCAATGAAGTTTTTAGTCAATGGACCAAACATTTTTTTCACACTGGTCAAAGTTTCAAAGATGCAAATTCCATGCATTTCTTTCTCATATAACTATCGAAAAAGATTTTTTGTTTTTCAAATGTAGGCAATGCTCCTTTTCTTGACATTTTAATCACTCCTGATAATTAATCAGTCCATATTTATATGTATGCAGGTTCCTCAACAAAGCGTGCGTAAAAACGGGCCCGACAACCCCATGGATGCTATCCCCGATCACCCGAGTCGAAGAAACCAAACAAATGCTAAGAATGATTCCGATCCTAATAGCCACGTTCATACCGAGCACAATGATAGCTCAAATAGGAACCCTCTTTGTAAAACAAGGCACAACTCTCGAACGAAAAGTCGGCAACTTCAACATACCCCCCGCTAGTCTAGCTGGCTTCGTGACACTATCCATGCTCATAAACGTCGTTTTGTACGACCGTTTCTTCGTGAAAATCATCAAAAAATGGACCAAAAACCCTAGAGGCATCACCCTTCTTCAACGAATGGGCATTGGCATGATATTCCACATAGTTATAATGGTCGTTGCTTCGTTGACCGAAATGTATCGGATTAGGGTTGCAAAGGAAAAGGGGGTGGTGGAAAACGGGAAGCAAGTTCCGTTATCGATATTTATTTTGTTGCCTCAATTTATATTAATGGGAGCGGCGGATGCTTTCTTGGAAGTGGCAAAGATTGAGTTTTTTTACGATCAAGCCCCTGAGAGTATGAAGAGTTTGGGTACTTCTTACTCGATGACTAGCCTCGGTGCGGGGAATTTCATTAGTAGTTTTCTTTTGTCAACGGTTTCGAAGATTACGAAGGGTGACGGTGGCGACGGGTGGATTAGGAATAATTTGAATGCGTCGCATTTGGACTATTACTATGCGTTTTTCGCGATTCTGAATTTCTTGAACTTCGGTTTGTTTCTTGTTCTTGTGAGGTTTTACGTGTACAAGGCGGAGGTTTCGGATTCGATGAAGGTTCTTGGTGAAGAACTCGCGGCTTCGAGGCAGAAGGTGGTTAATGAAGAAGCAATAGTTGTAGCCCAATAGTAGGTTGTCTTAAGAAAAAAAAATGTCAAGTTCTTTTCCA